GCCCCGTACTACGGATCCTATGTATATCCTATATATGTATCCTATGTGTGATAATCCTGTGTCGCGGGTGCCATGGACACACATATACAACATACACACATATACAACCACAAATTACACCCAAACTCACGAGAGAAACAAATGTAGGTCATACAAATACTTCTCCCGGCCCGGGAATCGAACCTGGGACCTCTGCGTGGCAATCCGGCATGGTGACCGTTCGGCCACCGAGGCAGTTTTGGTAGCAGTAGAGGTCCTTGTGAAAGAGCTCGTCCAGGGAAGTACTGCCACCATACCTATATCTGCTGCCAAGCAGTAGTGTGGGCTATCTATACTGCATTCCGGTTTGGAAAGTTATATAATAATAAATTAAGGGTGCTAGTGAAATTACAGGCGCATGGGACTTGTCAACTTATGTCTCCGGGTGACGGGCGCAATGGCAGTGTCTCTCAGATCGTTTCGATTTAAACCAGTTGTACGACTTGTTCGTCCCGTCACATGGTATAAAAAAGTGTTAAAAATGGTTGCTACAATTATTGTGTATAGATTCAGAATGCTGGAAGTTTTCATCGCATAGTTTTTAAAAGCAAACGAAAGATGTTTTTTAATAATCTTCGTTGAAGTTACACATAGCATACATTAGCATTAGCATCTTGTAACTTATTCATCTCACTCAAGTGACTACTTTAATAGTTGGCAAGATAAGAGACACAAGTTGAAGATGTTAACTTTAAACTTTATGATTCAGCTCAAACTTCGTCTCGGTATTTACATTTGCTTTTTGTTTGTTACTTTTGGTATAGAAATCAAATGATAGTTCTTTGGAAAAGGAATACTGATCCGTTGTGACGATATCACTACAAACATGTACTTTAACTCCACTCCACTGCTGAGCACGTGTCTTTTCTAATTCCACTTTAATAGGACTAGAAGTTTTTGTGAAAAAGTTCGTTTTGGGAAGTATTCTGACCACACTTATTTCTGCCGCCAAGCTGTAAGCTGTTGGAATAATATTCCAGCACCTTTAAGACTTTTAAAATCTAAACGCACCTTCAAGGAGAAGGTAAAGGAACTTCTTCTTGACAGTCAAAAAAAGGGTATTTCACAGAGCTTTGCTTAGGTGGCGAAAATTTGCTGCATATCATCATCATCAGCCTATTGAAGTCCAGTCCAGTCCTATTGCATATATTGTGTATTAAAACCATGATTAACCCACTAACAATTTAATTTTCTTTTATATCTGTATTTCACTTGTTTTTCTTAATTTTTCTTTTATATATTGTACACTTACAATATATAGTTTGAATTAAATCACTAATATTTTTAATTTATTTTTTAAACATTACATTTATATTATCTTCCTATTTATTTGGTTTCTATTCTAATTATTATTATATGTTTAAATATAACTAAATGGAAAAATGACGTCAGCGAGCTGATTATCGTATCTGCGATTACCTCTAGGTTATAGCTGAAAATCAGCGGTTTGCTCTTGAGTAAACACCGACGCTGAGCTATGACCTTTTTGCACTGCTGCAGCACACGTACATAACTGGGTGTCTAGCAGTGCTGCGACTCTGCTGTTTTTGTTTATTTTTTGTTTTGTTTGTGTTTTTGTTTTTTTTTATTTTTTTTTGCTGTTATGTACGTGTGAATGTAGTAACAAATAAACGTTTTATCTATCTATCTATCTAATTTGAATATTACTGCGTTCCTGTTTTATTTAATGATAAAGATATACCAACAGCATAAGTATAGTTTTGAAAAAACAGATTATGGTAAGAGAATTTTTTTTTATACATATGCCTGTAACTGGTACACACAACTTTGTAGGATTTAATTAGCACAGAACTTATTATGGATATGGTTACCTATCAGTGTTCCGAAATGAAGTTTTCCAGAATTAACGTTTGCTCGAATTTTCATAACCTCGAAAGTAATTTTGAGAGGAAAATATTTTTTCTTTTCAACCTAGCTTAACCTTTTTTTTTATCCGAGGGAATCTGCCCCCGGGCAGGGCCGGGGTTATGTGGGACTAGGAACCCTGAAGGGGAGCAACCCGACCGCACTAAACCTCCTGGGTGGTCCTCCTCTCCGCTGCAGGTAGAGGGCACGGGTACGCTATCGCTCGTCCGCGCCTCCACCAGCGGCTGGCCGCGCCCAGCGCAGCCCCTCCCCGAGAAGGAGACACAACGGTCCCCCGACTCCAAATGTAAAGCTCGCCGAATACCAGACGAGCCTTCCATCTCCGGCCCCTCCATTCTGGGCAGCCAATTCCTCCGAGTCCTCTACCCAGACATTCATTCTGGGCAGCGAATCCCTCCGAGTCCGCTACCCAGAGGCCATGGGGCCAGGACAACATCGCCTCAACTGTGAAGTTCAGTGGATGCTCCCCTAGTCCCCGCGGCGGATCTGTTGGTAGGGTCCGCCACAACATCCTACGCGCATCCACGTGGGCTCTCCGTAGAGAGTCCTTCGGAGCGCCCACCGCACGGACCTATCGCCCAAATTCGGCCGCGGAGGACAGGACGCGCGGCAAATTTCTCTGAGACCCTCCTCTCCGCATGCGTCCACATGGACCCGCTCGGCCTAGATCAAGACAAGCCCGCGCGGTACGCCCTCCTCCTCGGGCCAGCCTAGCTCTACTGAGTTCCTTTTAGCTTCACCGTGGGATGAAATCGACCACGGCCACTATAGCCCCCCGCCGTTCGAGTTTGTGATAGGTTACAAGTGGGTATACACATCAATTGAAAAAGAAATATATAAAAACAAGAGAAAACGTTTCTGTTATTTGAAATAAAACAAAAATAAATATAAAACACATACAGACTTGTTGGCGGTTGCATTTCGTGGCCTCGTTATGAAACCTACAGTAGCGTAAGAAAATAAAAAAAATTAGTGCACCGGCAAAACGGGAGCGGGAGACGAATGTCATTGGGAGGTAATTTTTGAATGTGGAAGTAAAGAAAATATTATGTATGCGTATTGTATGGTTTATATTATTAAGTTATCTAATTAATAACACCCTTGTTTGAATTCGTCGAGTGGAAGGTGAGGTTTGCAGACAAATGTATTTAACAAATAAATACGAAATTACAAATTTTTGTGTACATGTTTGATAAGGAAGTATTTTGATTTATCTGTCTGGGTTTGATTTAAGTGTTTTCCTGAGATATTTTTTTTCTAATGGGGCTGACATGTTTAATAACGACCAAAACCCCTGAATAAATAAAGAGTAAAATAATATGTTGTGACTTTAAAGTATTGCCAACAGTTTTGTTATAAATATTTTTAGTTATCGTTGAAGAATGTTTTGCAGTGTTTTGAAGGGTAAGGGTGCTGGTGATGTTACAGGCATATGGAACTTGTCAACTTATGTCTCAGAGTGACGGGCGTAGAGGCGTGTCCCTCAGGTCTTTACGACTTAAAGCTCTTAGTGTCACTGCACCTGTTATGGGTTGGCGTGTCGCTTACCATCAAGCGCACGACTTGTTACTTCCTTTATTTTGTTATTGTTTTCGTATTTGATTTTTTTCTTTATTTTTTTTTCACAAAATTCGGTGAGCATAATATTACTAAGGTAAATAAATACGGCTGTTTGCAAAAATAACAAATAACAAAAGAAAATGACCAAAACATAAACTTGTGTTCATTGGTGGTATCGATCTGTATATCCATAGTGTTCCTTATGTCAGATGGTAAGTTATTATAAATCTTGGCACTCATTACAGTAATATCGTTATATATAAGGGCAGATCTGCTACCTACGCTGTCAAGTTTATTAATCCTACGGGCATTCTTCACATACTTAAAGAATTTTCGTTTGAAAATGAAAACTGTAATGTTAAATATATAAAGAGATGTTAACGTTAGTAAACTATGTTTCTTGAAAGAAGGCCTATAGCTGTCTGTTCTTTTTAAACCACACATTGCTCCTAAATTGTGAAGTGATTACACCACTGTCACCCTAACTCGTGGTAGAGGCACAGTAGCGTAAATAGAAAACTACCGTGAAACTCAACATATTAACTAATCTAACGGATTCACTCCCATACTAACGTACTTAAATCAAATTTTTTGTTCAATCTGTTTCAAACTAGATTTAATCTCATGATTAAGTACCATGGACCAATAAAGCTGGGTACTCACTAGCAAGTTGTAACCGTTGCATGTTATGTAATCAAAAATCATAGCGAGCGGTACGCGTGATGTTCACAGTGAGCCGTCTAATTGAAGGCTGTTTCAAACATACACACTAGAACCTCGTTACTGTATCTGCACGGAATAGTTACAGCTCGCTAATGAGCACCCGGCTTAACTGAGATCGATTTCTAATCGCGATACAAGATGGCGTAGTCGGGTATTTAGTACCTATTGGCACACCAGATGCCGCGACGAGTACCAAATGACTATTTTTGTAACTAATTTGTTTTACATTGACAAGCTGCAACTTATCAAAGTAACTCTAATTTCCAGTGATAACATAAAATCAACTAGATGACGCTTATTGCACAGATTTTTATGAATACTACTGAATATTTTTTATTTTGTTTAGAATTAGCGCCATCTACCCATATTAGGCAGCGTTAATTGATAAATTGGTTTGCAAAACACAATACTTTTCAACAAAAGAGTACAGCGATGTACTGCCACCTTACCTATTTCTGCCGCCAAGCTGTAATGTTAGCATTACTGCGTTCCGGTTTAGAAGAATAAGGGTGCTGGTGAAACTGGCACATGGTACTTGTTAACTTATGTCTCAGGGTGACGGGCGCAGTGGCAGTGCCCCTCAGATCTTTGCGTTTTATGGCTCTTAGGAGTGACACTGTAACTGTTATGGACAGGCCTGTAGCTTACCATCACGCGCACGACGTGTCCGTCCCGGCACTTGATATTATATTAAAAAAAAATAGTTTGGATATTAGCAGTCTTCAGTTACTGAAGACAATCTTCTTGGCTACCGTTGCTCAGTTTAATTTATAATAATTAATTTTCAATAGGAGATCCACCGCCTCGTCTCACCTGGTTCCTAGAGAACACTGTCATAGATGACTCCTTCGAACAAACACCAGATGGTTCTACAGTCAACATGCTGACCTTCCCCAACATAGGCCGCCAGCACCTGAACTCCAGACTGGTCTGCCAAGCGAGTAACACCAACTTAGCACCACCTTTGACTAAACTGCTGATTTTGGATATCAATTGTGAGTATTTTCTTCTCAGTCGTATTCTTCACTACGGAAAGGCATTCGAGATTTTATGGACGATTTCCTTCCATCCAGTTCTGTTTTCGGCTTATCTTTGAACAGTAGCTATATAATTGTGAGTATACATATATTTATATACCTACGCCTTTGAATTCCCATTAGTGTAGGCAGATACTAGGTTCTTAGTAGTATAGCTCCCTGTGAAAGAATTCGTCCAGAACAGTACTGCTATCTATTTCTGCCTCCAAGCAGTAATGTGACCATTACTTCGAGTTTTGAAGCAAGGGTATTGTGAAACTACAGGCGCATGTGACTAGAAAAGTTGATGTCTCAATGCAACCATTGCTGTGGCAATGCCGTTTAAATATTTTGCAATTTAAAGCTTTGAGTCTTGTCAAATTACACCCCGAGAAGATCATAAAGGTCCGAGGAGCACTGGCACAGCGTATGTTCCTCTGGAACTTAACATCAGCCCCATGTGCCTGTCGTTTCACCTGCACCTTTGATCCTCAAAACTGGAACACAGTAAAGCTTACATTAATGCTATGTATTAATTCCTATAATTAGAGTCGATCTTACAAATTAATTTTGCAACACATAAATCTTACTTTCTTTGTACTACATTATACCTCTAATATGCCGATATAAAAACAAACTTGCTTTGTTTCTTTTAACTGCTTGTAAATCATTAAGAGAAGCAGCTGTAATTATTCTGAATTATATTTTTGATCTATGCCCATAAGTAACGAATATTCTCTCATAGAAGTACTTAGTACAGAATAATCGCTTCCTGATACCTAGTTCAGAATTAGCCTTTCAATCCGCAATTATTTTCTAAACTCAGATGAGAAATCGATAAAAGTTAGAAAGAATATTTCCGATAAGAATTGTAATTCAAAAAAACAATTTTTGTTGCAGTAAGGCCACTGACAGTTCAGATCCTGAATAAGAACCGGCAGCTGTCGGCAGACAGAACTTACGAGGTGGAGTGTCAAACAACAGGGTCCAGACCAGAGGCGCTGGTCACCTGGTGGAAAGGGTCCAGGCAGATAAAAAGGAGCTCTAAAGTCGTAAGTGTTTTTTCAATATTTATTTTATAGGCCAACAAATTTGGAGGTAAGGTTGATTCCTTTGAGAATAACAAGCAAGAAACTCTTGGGCTTTCTCTGTGTAAACAGACACCTGTTCACATTTATCATTTTACAATAATTACATAAAATATGGGTAGAAACAACCTAAAAAAGTTAAACGTATCTCTCCCATGGGATTTTTTCATTCAATTTTGCTGAAATTATACAATTTTGTACTGAAGTAACTTATACAGGGTTATTTGTAAAGTAATAGGGGTTAAAGTATGAAATTGCCGATTTGTACTGAAAATCTAAATTGTTTATTTTTTAAATTTTTAACAAATTTATTTAATCAAAATAGTTGCCATTATTATCTGTACATTGCTGCCATCTAATGGGAAGGTTATTAATGCCTTTGCGATAGAACTCCGACGGTCTAGACTGCACAAACTGTGTGAAAGCATTTTGTACTGCCTCCTGGGAAGAAAACTTCTTGTCACGTAGATAATTGTCCAAATCACGAAAAAAATGGTAGTCCGTTGGAGCAAGGTCTGGTGAATACGGAGGATGACGAATGTTTTCTAACTACAGTTCCTGAAGGGTCAAAATGGTTTCTCGTGCTGTGTGAGGTCTCGCGTTGTCGTGGAGCAATAATGGTGAAGATCGATTCATGAGTCGGGGCTGTTTTACTGCTAGTTTTGTCAACATGGTTCGGAGTTCGGCACAATAGACATCTGCCGTTATTGCTTGACCAGATCGGAGAAAACTATAGTGAATAACATCATGCTGAGACCACCAAACAGTTACCATTACCTTTTTATTGGTAAGTTTTGCTTTAGGACATTGTTGTGGCATTTGACCTGGGGTCAGCCATTGCATTTTTCTTTTCCGGTTATCATAAAGAATCCACTTTTCATCACATGTTACAATTCGATCCAATATTCCTTCATTTCTGTACCGGTTCAACAAGGCAACACAAGTTTCAACACGCGTTTCTTTCTGCAGATCAGTCAAATCATGAGGCACCCATTTTTCGTATTTTTTTATTTTATTGATTTGACGCAAGTGAGTCAATATTGTGGGTAAGGTAACGTTAAACCATGCCGCTAATTCCTGGGTAGTTTGACTAGGATCGGCTTCCACTATCTCTCTTAATTCATCGTTATTCACCTGTGTAGGCGGTCTTCCTCGTGGCTCGTTCTTTAAGTCGAAATTTCCATCACGAAAGCGTTTAAACCAAAATCGCACGGTGCGTTCATTAGTAGACCCCTCTCCAAACGCAACATTGATATTGCGGGCTGTTTCTGCCGCGTTAGTTCCACGTCGGAACTCGTATTCAAAAATCACTCGAATTTTCGCAGTATCCATCTTTCTTGTCTAAATTGAATAACAAAAACAATAGAAAGTCGATATTCAAATGTTTCAAATTAAAAAAAAAAATCACAGAAACCATTTGAAAAAAGTTTCATTCGAAAACCTCAAACCATGAAGATTCTATGAAAATTCAAAGAACCTATTGCAATAAAACGGCAATTTCATACTTTAACCCCTAATATTAACAACCTCGCAGAACTACATAGTCAACATCATACACAACAACTTTTTTTTATTCCGGATGCAGAGCTAATCTTAAATAAACAAAATAACAGCCCACCCATAAAAGTCTGTTCAATAAGCGCCATCTAGTTGAACTCTGAAAAAGGTCAAAATCAACTCTTATACCTAGATGGCGCTGATCGATAGCATGGAAGTAGTTTATATTATGTAAATTGCCGTGAATATGAATGAATTCCTCTTTAATATGAAATATAGGAAGTCAGTTGCTGCTGCATGAGCTAAAATTTTTTCTAAACTTTGACAAATATGCATATCAATAGATGTTACAAACTAATTTATAAATTCCCGCTTGCTAATATGGGTAGATGGCACTAATTCTAAATAAAATAAACTATACAGGAATAATCATTGAAATAACGCCATCTAGTTGATTCGTTTGTTATTGATAGAAATTAGAGCAGCATGAAGCAAACATTGCAGCTCGTCTATGTAAAACAAATTAGTTACAAAAATATTTATTATTTATATATATATTTACTATTTGGTACTCGTTGCGACATCTGGTTTACCAATAGATTTTAGTATCTATCCCGACCACGCTGTCTTGTATCTCGATTAGCAGTCCTCTTGCTTTATTGGTCCATGCCTCTAGTGATATTTATGTATGTGTACACTTTTGTTCCAATATCGCCTCCAGAGCAATGGAATAAGATCCATCAACGAGTACCTTGTTTTGCCTGCTGTTGTCTGTAAAAACGGTGGCATTTGTACAACTCGTGCAAAAGCTACTGCATGAGAACAACACCGTCACAATGAATAAATTCATGACCTTGCAACTTGACCTCGGGACGGCTGTCAATAATTTTATCCGACGAAACGTAACTTTTGCCTCTTAGTAAAGGTTTGGCAAGAGTTATCTAATATTCCACGGTCTTTGATCTTAAAAGGATCAAAGTGGAAGTGAAAACTCATTTCGATTTCTCCATTCGCTTCAATCTTTTTATTTTATTACATACTTGACGATTTCCAATAGCTTTTTGTAACCTGACCTTTGTACAAGGTTATTTTTGACTAATTCTACTTCTAATAGGACATGAACCTATTGTTCTGATTTAAATAGCGTATATTTGTTTTTTCAAACAAACCAACGTTTCGGGCCCTTTACAGGTCCCATGGTCACGGTTGTCAGTCAACAGTAAAGGGCCCGAAACATTTGTTTGTTTGAAAAAACAAATATACGCCACTTAAATCCGGAAAAAACCTATGAACTCGACTTCTACATACACATACTTCATGTATGTGACCTTTTGGTAAACAAAGACAAAAAAATAACAATATTGTATCGGAATGACAGCAGTAAGAACCTCCTGAACAAGCCGGTTTCCGAAAGGGTTTTATACCATAGACCACATCCATACGCTGCAGCAGGTTATATAGAAGACCGAGGAGTATAACCGGCCACTTTGCTTAGCGTTTGTGGACTATGAGGAGGCCTTTGATTCGACCGAGACCTGGGCGTGCTAAGTAGACTATAGGTATATCGAGATGTTAAGGTACTTATACAAAAACGCCAGAGCGATCACAGCATCAGAGCTCTAATCCTATCCTATAACGAGGCGTGAGACAGGGAGATGTGATATCTGTGAAACTGTTCACTGCTGCGTTAGAGGATATTTTCAAGCTTCTGAACTGGAAAGGACTTGGCATCAACATCAACGGCGAGTATCTAACACACCTTCGATTTTCCGATGATATAGTTCTTATGGCTGAGACCTTGGGAGACCTGAACGCAATGCTCGAAGATCTCAGTAGTGTTTCCTGAAGAGTGGGTCTTAAGATGAACATGGACAAGGCGAAGATCATGTCGAATGCCCATGTTGTACCCGCTCCAGTTAAAATTGGGAAGTGGTTGACCATTACGTATACCTGGGACAGACAGTTTAGTTAGGCAAGTCCAATTTTGAGAAAGAGATCTCTCGTCGAATCCAGCTCGGATGGGCAGCGTTCGGGAAATTACAAAAAATCTTTGCGCCCAAATTACCTTAGTGTCTCAAGATGAAAGTCTGACCAGTGTGTGTTGCCAGTGATCACATATGGATCAGAAACGTGGCCCTCACTATGGGTCTCATAAGAAGGCTCAAGGTCGCTCAGCGGGCAATGGAGAGAGCGATGCTCGGTATTTCCCTACGTGATAGAATCAGAAATGAGGAAATCCGTAGGAGAACTTAGGTAACCGACATAGCTCGAAGAATTGGTCAGCTGAAGTGGCAATGGGCGGGGCACATAGCATAACCGATGGCCGTTGGGGCAGAAAGGTTCTTCAATGGCGATCGCGCACTGGACGATGCTCAGTGGGTAGGCCCTCCATCAGGTGGACCGACGATCTGGTAAAGGTCGCGGGAAGCCGATGGATGCGGGCAGCACAGGACCGATCGTCATGAAGTTCGTTGGGGGCGGCCTATGACCAGCAGTGGGCGTCGTATGGCTGGATGATGATAACAGTAAAATTTCTCATTTCAACTGGATTCAAACCAGGGTTTTCCAACAAACCGTGTTACGCAAGCCACGGAAGGAACTAGCAGACCTTACGAATTTTTCTACGTGCTTGTTGCAGATCATTGTTTTCGGTTTAATAGAGAAATCTATTTCATCATTCAGCAGGTACCTGGAAGACGGTGGTTCAAATCCAGTCTTACCGCCTGGCGCACAATTTGTTCGTCCCGCACTTTGTATTATAAAAAAATAAGTCATTATTTGTAATAGTGAATTTACCTGTTACTTTCGATATATCCCTGACTGTACCCATCACAGACATTACATGTACAGAGTAACATTTTGTGGTTAATAATTAACATAACCTCAAAAATGTTGTTTGTATCAATTTTCCCTATTTGAAGAATTATAAACCCTGTGTAATTAGAACGTATATGGAAATACAAATGAAACTCTGTATCTACGATTGAGCGTCGCCAACTTTTTCAGCTGGTCCAACTTGGGCATTGTCTTTTAGGATAGAAACTATCTTTTTTTTAATTTACTTATTAATATTATATTGCATTTAGTCGCTTCTTCCACGGCCTGAAAATGAATTTTTAAATTGGTGAGGCAGCATTATCCGACAATAGCACAGTCGATCGGGGCCAGCATCTCAGGTTCAAGAAACGATCGTGCCGCATTAAGCTGCACCGTGATCTCCATTTATACTGGAACCGACGACATAATATAAAAGTCAAACCACTTCAAGTTGTTAGTGAGGCAGGCTGGAATGAACCCGTAAGCAGACACAACAATTGGTATTATTTCAATGGAGATCACATCCCACACGCCGGTGATGTCGTGCACCAGATCGAAATCTTTCGACGTTTTCTGGTTTCAGCTTCCAGATCCTTATAGTGTAAGATGGTGAAGTCTGGAAGAAATACCCTTTGCGACTGATGCAATTA